AAATTCCAACCTTAGTCTTGTAACTATTTTGGTTTTCATACAACAATCTCAAAGCATATACTGTTTAAAGCGTAATCCACATTTTAGCCTACATCTCTGGCCATTCTTTAGCAAGGGAAATCTGTTCATAGGGGCTAGATGATCAAAGCAAGAACTCTTCCTACTATTAATACTCGCCCTTTTAAAAATCTAAGTTTAAAAATAAAAGCTAAGTTATGCTGTTGCTGAATCTCTAAATTTAACAGAAAAAATCGGCAAGTATAAGCAACAATTTACTATGGTGATGATTAGTTAACTAAGATCAAAACGTAAAAAATTAAACGTATTTCAAATGCTTAAGATTGAGCATTTCAGATTTGTTTCGTACAATATTTGAACAATATTACTAAATAAATAAGGTGAGACAATAAGCATTGACAATAATCAGACGCAGTTACTCACTTAAGAACACTATATTCGTTCAAACTCATGAGAATCGAGTATGCCCGAAACTCCGGCTCGAATGGGCAGTCAATTTCAACGCTAGATGGGCTCTGAAAACGACCAGCGACTGTGCCTGACAATCGAGCAGATGCTTGAACGCGAAGGTCATCATACATCTCCTTCAGTGTTTGCAAACATTGGGTTAGATTTTCAGAATTAATTCTCGGATCAAAAGCATCGACTGGTTGATCAACAAGACGCGCAGCACAGAATACGTGGAAGCGGGCTATCGCCTCCATTACACGAACTATCGCCGGAGAACAGAGACCCTGCTGAGCGACGTCTTTGCGTATAGCTCGAGTTCGAGTCCATAAAAACTCATACCTTGTGAAAGAGCGAAAGAGATTATATAATGAGAACGGGAGGTTTGACAAAAATAAACTTTAATATATGCTACATTTTGTAACCCAGGGTAAAAAGCTAAACACCCAAAAATATTATCAGAAGACCAAGATAATGTGGCCTCTATTTTGGTCGAAATCCTCTTCTTCATTTGCAAACATATTTTCCATGTATAATGATAAAAGTGAACAGTTAATTCATCCCCAGAAGAAGAATATATCTGGGCTGTGAATGACAAGACAAAGAATCTACAGGATATGCGAAGCTCAGATGATGCCTACCAAGCTTTCCAGAGACTACGAGTAGATTCTTCCTGTTCTGCTCGGTCTGCAATGGCAGCCAGGAGATAGGTTACAGTTCGTTCCAAAACTTCAGGCGGTCTCAGCTCGTCAGGAAGAGGTGCAGCTTGATCTGCTGATGATCGAGCATAGTCCTTGACTGCGCGCATATGATCCATCCGCCATGTACCACTACTACTACCACCGGAGGTTGTAGAATGTGGATAGCACTCGAATAGCTACAAAAATAAAATACCCAAAATACTTCAAATTGTTGTGTTAAATTAGATGAACTAACACTATATTGTCTGATGGCAAAAGAAATGCCAGTTAAAATTAAGAAAGCAAGGGGCTGATCATAAAAAATAATAGGGGGATTCTAAAATATCCTTTAATAAAAAAATGCATCGTTTTGGGTTTCTCCTCAACGTTTTTAAGAACACTTAATTCAGGAATGCGCTATTTTATTAAAATTAAATGCTAGACGATTTCACTGGTCAAAGGCTGCGTTAAACGAATACAAAATAAATGAATAAATAAGTATAAATAATAAAGACATTAAAGCTTATGAACTATCCATTTAACCCAAG